ACCATTTAAAAGGGGGTACCCCCCCCCCCCCCCCCCTCCAGCAGGGGCACTGTTGGCAATAAAAACCTTACATTCTAACCCCTCACTACTCTTATCCACAGCTAAAAAGTTCTGCCTTTAGTTACCTAAAACTGCAGGCTTTTATATTGACCAAGGCATGCAGTTCTGTAACGCTTTGTGCCATTGGGCATGCTGGGACTTGTAGTTCTGTGGCCACTTAACATCCATGGAGTTACTTGTCCAGCTCCAACATGTCATGCTCTAGATTAAAGTAAGATCTAAAGATCACTAACATCCAATGTAGTCTTTAAAGTGTATGTAAAGGTAAATCATTTCAGTTTTGGATAGAGTAGGGAAGCGTTAGCCCCTCTGTCCACTTTGTGCCATTTGGGGGGACGTAACCCTCTGACTGTCCTGTAGGGGCCACTGCCAGACAGAAAATAAGGGGACCTGAGTGAGAAATGAAGGTAAGCCATCCAATGAGGATAAAAGTTCTGTTGACTGCCTTGGGTAGGAATTTCCCACTTTAGGGAGGTTGCCTCTTCCTGTTGCATATCCAGGACAGGAAGTAAAGAGAGATTCCCCCCCCCAGCAAAACACCAAATCCTGATAAGCTTGTTAGCCCTTCTCCACTCTGGTCAAAACATTAAAATCGTTGGCTATACATACACTTTAACATGCTAACTAATGGTTGGGCAACCTTTGCACTCTGGGTGTGGTAAAACTTCAAATCCCATTATACCTCGGAGTCGTGACTGTCCTTCTTGCAGTGCATCATGGGGACTTGTAGTTTCACAACTAGAGTTCCAAGGTTGCCCAGTCCTTTGCTTATGGAATTTATCATTTTCAGCTATTTAAAATCTGTAAGTATGACTAATACGCTGTAATCTTGCCATGTAGGTCCTTGTTGGGGCACTTCCTGTTAGATTGACAACACTCTGTCCTTATTGCTCTCCTGCATTGCGACGGCACGCTGTGCTTGGTGCTCTCCTGCATTGCGACGGCACGCTGTGCTTGGTGCTCTCCTGCATTGCGATGGCACGCTGTGCTTGGTGCTCTCCTGCATTGCGACGGCACGCTGTGCTTGGTGCTCTCATGCATTGTCACTTGTGCTACCAGAGGTGGCCATTGGCAGCTGTGCCAACACTTGGCATGGCATGTTCTGCAGTTTTAACTCTTCAGGGCTTGTTCACACCAAATGCAGACCAGATCTGCATGAGTTTCTGCAGTGCAGTGGGTTGTGCCGTGTTTTTGATGCGTTCCGGGTCGTTTTTTGGTTTTTAACAAACTTTTTTAAGGGGTTAGAATGGGCTTTTAGTGTGTTTGCATGCATTCCAGAGCAGGTAAAATAGGGCTTGCTGCAGCTTTTTTACATGCTCTGGAACTGAACACTGCGGTGTGAACTAGAGCCCAAAATACAATTGGAATACATTGGATGCAGTTGTGAACCGGTCTGTAACTGCTCTGCTCCTGGAGCGCACGTGTTATGAACAAGGCCTAAGGAAGCTTCAACCAATGCCATGCAGCTGCTGCTGTGAGTGCATGTAGACAGGAACTGGCTGTAGAGTGGCTGGTGAAGATCAGCAGCACTGAGATATGATGCCAGTACTTTCTAAAAGGTAAAACATGGTGGTTCTTTGGTACAGGGCTTTGGCATACAAAACCTCATGCATTGGGCTAATGTCTAGTTCAGGGCTAGGCAACCTTGGCTCTCCTGCTGTGGGGGAACGACAAATCCCATAAGGCATTGCAAGCCACAGGCATGACTCAGAGGCAGAAGCATGATGGGATTTGTAGTTTCAGCACAGCTGGAGAGCCAAGGTTGCCTGCCTCTGGTCTAGTTTAGGTTTGAGCCCCTGTTCTGACGCATCTTGTTTCTCTGAGGTGCTAATGTTCAGTACAATATTCTCAGTACATCATAGTCAAGCATTGAGAACCTGGTGCTGAATAAAAACCTTCAACAAATGTTTAACTTGTGACCTTAACTCTTAACCTTGGCCTATCAATTTAAAATTGACAATGAAGGCAGACCCAGTCTCAAAGACCTTGCCCTACACAACGCCTCTTCTGGACTAAATTGGCTTCAAGACATGGCTAATATTTCCAGGAGTTTTCAGGCTTTGGTTCCTGGCTGCTGCTGGAGGATCATGTGAGTATTGTTTTCAACCAGGGAAGTGTGTATGTGCTGTGTGCCAGGCAAGCATGCCAAAGTATACTTGACTAAAGTGCTGGAAGGCCATTCACTGTGCCCTTTGATCAGAATGGAGCTGCTAGTGTGTCAATGTTGACCATGCTGTGGGGAAGGGACCATTGCAAATCCCTGCACCAATTTGACTGCACTTGCAAGCCTGCCTCATTACCTCACTTTGAACTGATGGATATCTGGTAGCACTGAACCAGTAGGAGTAGAAATTGGTTTTAATGATGAATCTGAAATGGGGCATGTAGTCCTAGAGGGAGATAAACCTGTGAGAACAATGTGTAGTGTATGGACTGGTTATGGGCAAAGGTGGGCTACCTCTGGTTGTGATGGGAGAATTGCTCATCAGAACATCAAATCCTGCATGTGTGCTTGGGAGCACCTCAAAAAGAAAAAAAAAAAAATCATCTTGCTTGATTGTTGGAAATGCTGGATATAGCCAATGGATTTTGGGGGAATTGGGCACTACGTTAGGGTTAGGGCAGCAATATGTAATGAAATAAGAGCTGTGCTTTGTAACCTAGGTTGGGGCTGGATGGCCTGTTTGCAGCGAGAACTGGATCCTAATTTCAATACATATTCACACCCTGAAGGAGGTCCATTTCCCTCAAAATGCTTTGGCTGTATTGACATCTTCAATTCAAATAAACAACCTAAATGAACTTTCAAGAGATGGCCATTTTTAGGCCCCATTCACACACGAATCGGCCTGCACGTACAGCTGCGTGCGGGGCTGTGCCAAGCAGCTGCCACAAAGGACGGGTGCTGCGTGTTTTTAGTACGCAGCCCCCATCCTTCTCAATGGGGCTACGTGGCCATACGCTCACCTCAATTGTAGGGGTGCGGGTGAGCGCATTCATACGTCGCCTGAATGGACCCTGTATGCGTCCCGGCCAGAAAACCCGCACCCCTACAGAACTGCAATTGAGGTGAGCGTAGGGGATACGGCCGCGTAGCCCCTATTAAGGGAGGGGGGCTGCGTGCTAATCGCACGCAGCACCTGTCTTTCCCGGCAGCTGCTTGGTACAGAGCTGTACGGGCAGGCTGATTTGTGTGTGAATGGGGCCTAAGACGCTCCAAATCCTGGATGTTGGATTGGATCTCCTATAAACCTTGTGTAGTTGTGACAGAAAAATGATTATGCCCTCAACAGAGCCAAGAGCTTTCAAGAGGCATCCAGCTGGCTAGTGCACACTTTGGAATGTCGCCTGCTAGTCTATAGGTGCTGAAGATGTAGTTGCCCCCCTGGTAGTTTTATCATCGCTTCTATACACTATCTTCTTTCTGTGCCTGCTTGAATAACAGATTATCTATTCTCTACACAGGGTGCAACGGATCTCAAACATGACTGACATGGCTGACAACCACAAGGAGGCTTGGGAGACCTTGGCTAATGCCGCAGACAAATATCGCAGACAGACTGGAAATGACATTGTGCTAATCACTGCGTACAAATCTAAGTTACTGACCACCTATGCCTATGCAGTTCATGGCAACGGGGTGCTCCTAGAGGCCACTCAGAGGTATCTTGATGACATTGCTGTAGTGCACAAAACCACTGCTTTTACCAGCCCACTCCCAATCAAGACCAGCAATGAGACCACTAGTGGCAGACAGAACTCTTACTCAAAGAGCTACCCTTCTATCTATGGCAAAGAGGGCTTCTCGTCAATGGAGGACAATGAACGTTCCAACCCCCAGGATCAACTGCCTGAGCAGCTGCCAAATCTGGATGCATCCGAAGAACCTGATGAGGAGGATTATGACTACAACAAGCATGGCCAACTACATAAGGCAGACAGTGTTCCAAGTGACTCGACAGGTGAGGCTCTAGATGCTAAAGTTTAACGAAGCATGCAAACCTGGTTATTTGGTCTTTCTCTAGAACATTAAATGGAAGGGGTCTTGCTCATTTGCATCCTCTGGAACAGCTTCAAGGCAATCACTTTTTGAAGCTGCTTGGCAAGCTACACCCCCGGGATCTAAAGCCCATTGCTTTTTAATTGTGTTATGGCTAATGCCATGCAGCTCTGAGCTATGGTAGCCTAGGAGCTTGGTACTGTTAAAGGAAACCCGTCTAGAAATACTTGGGTTAACACTGTCATTTGAAGTTATCTTGAGCGTCATGCTCGTCCATTAGATTTGTTGCTTTTTGAGTCACTGATATGGAACATGTGAAGATCAGGAGTGCTGTCATCTCTTGTAGACGGGGGCATGTCAACCTAAACTGGGCTAAAAACAGTTTGCTATGCCCTCTGTAGGCTTTTTTCCAAGTCGGTAACTTCACTGTCTACTTGACAGCCAGACAACAAATCTTTGAAGGGCTCAACGAAAGCACTATTGTTGGGAACCTATGCTTTGACTTTATTTACTCTCCTCATTCAATTCTGTATTTTAAATAGAACTATGGGGTTAAGGCTTTTCCCCATAGTTCTCAGGGTAACAGGAGGACACAAACTTGCGTCCTCCCGTCACCCTAAGCTCAGTATACCGCAAGCTTGCGGTATACTGAGACGCCGCGAGTGACAATTATGTCTGGATCCGCCCAGCTGCATGAGTGACAGCTGGCTCTGCCTATCTAGAGGCAGAGCCAGCTGTACCCGCCCCCTCCCCTGTCCGATCCGCCAGTCAGCGCTGGTGGGGAGGGGGGAATCCAGCCCCTCCCCTGTCACGGCAGAGAGCCGTCAGCGAACGCCAGTATGTGTTCGCTCACCGACCGATCTACTGAGCCGACCTGTGACAGTCTCATTGTCACAGGTCGGCTAGAACTATGAGGAGTGAAAGCACTCGCCTCATAGTTCTCCAACTTGTTTCAGCATACAAATATCCCTGGCAGTACCTCCCTCTTGCATTGGGTGAAATAATGCTCAGATACTGCAAGGCCTGGATCTGATATCCATCTGCTGCCAACATAGAGCTGTGCACATATCGCACATAAATGCTATTGCAGTGGCCAGAAGTCTCTTATGGATCTTTCAGGGCTGTGTGATGGGCCACTAGACTTGGCTGTCTGCAAGCATGCTCCTGATGGCTTGACTCATTGCAAGGTGCTGCTGGGGAAGCCACTTGTGTATCCAGGTGATTCTGTAGCTGCAGGGGCTGTGTAATGGGAAGGATCTGACACCCCTGGAAGTGTTGACTTTCTGTTTTTAGTGGTTACGATGAGGAGCAGATCAGAAAACAAGCAGATCTGTAGTTTTGCTTTATTGAAACTAGGGTTAAAATTATGAATAAAGCAATGAGAGAAATGCAGAAGCTGTCACTGGTGACCACTCACGAGAAGGCTAGTTGCCTGGTCATCCTACATTGTGATGGTTGCTTACCAACCCC